GAGCGTTTAGATCTCCGATAACGATTTTGACGTCATGGTTAGGATTGTATCATCATCGTCCCTTCCTAGGTGAGGGCTATGCACGTTGAAGAAACGGCCTTTGATCCTCAACTTGCACATTCTGTTGTCGATTGGCCACCACCCAATCACGCACTTTTGCATTGTACCCATAACGATAAAAGCTGTACCCAGCTCATGTGTGTTGCCGCAGCTCTGGTAGATGGTATAAGCATCCTTAACCTTATACGTATGTACCGACGATCCCTTCCAGCAAACCTCCTGCAGTGCTACAATGTTGAACTTGCGGGCCCTCAATAAGTCGGAAAGAATGCGGTTACTTCCCAAGAAATTAAGAGGCTTACAGTTCCATGTTCCGAGTTTCCAATCGCTAGTCCGTATTCGTTGCCTGGGTCTATGCCGATTGTTGCGGTCCGTATTTACATTGTTTGCTTCCTGTACTTTTTGTACGGTTGGTTTGTAGGGCCTGCACCAACCCCCTATCTCGCCGGAGGGCCATCGTGCACAGCTCTGTTTAGAGTCCCAAGCTGGCACTAGGACGGTGATCAGCCGCCCCTAACATGGAGAATAGACGCTCCGGGGAAAGAAGCCCTCCCCCCCCCCTTCCCCTGTCATACGACCAAGGTCCCACCAGGATTGGTTACCCGATCTTTCCTATGTTTACTCGTACCCCAGCCGGCACCGCGGGGAGTTACTGGACAATAGACTAAGGACCACATTGCACAGTGTGCAAAAATTGACTAAACCGCGACTAAATTGGATATCTCGGCTGCCAAACGGTTTCATTCAACTTGTTATACATATTCTCAAAGGAAAAACTCTACTGAATCGATTGGTTGTGATCTCATTGGCCGGAGACTTTTGCGTACCGAGATAGAGGGCCGGGATCAACCCAAGTTCCCGGTAAAGTAGGAACTGCCACTATCTATCGACATAATTTTACACTTTACTTAATGTATATTACTGGAAATTGATAGTACTAAGTATATATGGTGTAAAGACACCATATACGCCCTCAGGGAAAACAGGGATCCGGAGCAAACGATAAAGTGGCCACATAACAAAAAGTTTCCTAGAACCTTGTGATTTTTTTCTATTATGTTCAGAATCAAGATATCAACGCGTATTTAATATAGAAACTAAAAGAGACGAACCAGCTAAAGGCTGAAAGTCTCTATAATAAAGCAAAAAAAAATATTGAAACTATAGTTTGGGTTATAGTGACCACATTGTGGTTCTCCGGATAATCTGGATTGACCGAGAAAGTGGCAATTGGGGTCCATTTTATACCTGTCGATACGCGGGGTAACAAGATTACGCATTGTCCAGCCATTTACCAGCCAATCATAACCAAAAGTACTCCTAATAGCTACTTTACATTTACGAATTTTAGGATATTTTAACCAAATTTATGTTTTAGCTTGAGCTTGCTTGAGTTTGAGCTTGATTGACCGCCCACGGTTGCTACTCTGTTACTGCCAGATCAGCTGTAATTACACAGAGAACCAATAGACGATGCTTGGGACTAGCAATCATCCTCAATGTGTAAAAACTGGTGATCTTAAATTAGGCAATACCAGCGCCGGCCGCGCCCGAACACAGGTCAAGAAAGGAATGGGAAGGATTGTGTTGGCATGACACTCGCTTTGATGGAAGTCGAGAACACCTCTGCACTTCCACGAGGAATCACTGGGATGTTGGATAAGAGGGTTGGGTTTGCAGCAGGGTTCGTTTTGGTAAACGATAAGCTGAATTGATGTCCTAACGATCATATAACGCGAAGGAGCTTGGGACTAAACCCACGGTCTTCTGCTCAGTAAGCAAAAACGTTTGCCACTAGGCAGACGAGCACCTTTTTAATCACCGAGTTACTGTTATTACCATGTAGTCATATTAACAAATAAAACGATTGACGAATCTTGAATGTGGATGGGCCTGAGATTAGACTCATGATGTTCTGCTCAGTAAGCAAAAACGGTTGCTCTAAGGCCACCGAGCCCCTCATATCACATAATACCGTTGCTCAAATTTGTGTATCCATTCAAACCCGGAGCCAACGACAACAACGAGTTTCGCAAAATAGACGATACACAAGCGATTTTACCATAAATCTCTTTGATATGTAAGGACCTGGGACCGCGTTTTTCTGCTCAGTAAGCAGGCCACTGTAACCGACGATCTTTCAAATCAGAAAACTAAAAACTACGAAAAAGAACTTAGGCCTTCATTAAGTTCCACTTTCACGCGACGTTCAATGACAGATAGGACCAGGATTACATCTGAAAAATCCAAATCTGGCCAACGCCCACCTGTTCTAATCCACCTGAAATGACTAACGAATGGAAGACTTTGACTACCCAGCCATGCGATAGTCTCATTCCGTGCCTTATGCCAACTTGATGATTCTATTGCGCTCATCTTTTGGCACCACCCAGAGGAGACTTGGTCCTGTACCCAATGCTTAACTTATCTCCATTCCACTCAGCTACTCGCAATTTCTTGTGATATAGTGGGCGGAATATTATTATATGAGACAATTCAATGCAGACGTCTTTCCAAATTTGGCAGATCGACAGGTAATCGGTGAGTTACCACGATAGTTGCTATTCAACAACTCGACAACGTCCCATCGTCAACGTCTGCTATGAGAATTTCCCATTGCAGACGCCAACGAAATGACGTCATCGAGCTATCGATCAACTACCCTGGTTATCGCCTGGTACTTTATAGCACGATGCTAAGAGGCGAACCGGAAGAATCGATGAGCTACCTCTCCCCCCTTAACCAAATTTATGTTTTAGCCCCATGAAGTTTTACATTGATCTATTTGTTATTTAATTTGAGTGAAATGAGATATCTATTTCAATCAACCATTTCCATGACAGTCGTACAAGTTGGGGAAAGTGGGGCAGTTTGGCCACCTTAAGAAAATCATCACCAATCATACAAAATTCAGTGGAAAATTCGAATGATGTTTAACCAAATGGATAGCTTCAAGCCCTATTTACACCATGAATACACATTGAATAGTAAAAGTAAACTTTTGAATCTTATGCAAGAAGATTTAAAAAATGTTCGTTTTGTAATCGAAATTAAACCGTTGGGGTTAAATGAGCACCCTGTCGGGGTGGTACGAGTGACCTTGTAAACAACGGGTAAGAATATTATGTTCCCTTGAGGTTTTATGAAGGATCAACAATGATCAGTTTTAGTATAATAAGATTTAACAGAAACAATTATTTTCTGTAGAATAAATTTAATTTAAGAAGTACTGCCTATTTAAGGCTACATTTTTTCAGTCTTGTGAATGAATGATTAATATTTACAGAAGCAACTGTTTCAAAACGTGATTTCATATGAAACAGTCATATTTATAAAAGGAATAATGCAAAATTGGAGAATTCAAGTTGAAATATTAATGGTACTCATATTTCCCCGAATGGACTTAAGTAATGTTTTGTTGAGAAAATCTTTAATGTTTATTAAAATCTAGAAAAACGTCGTGTCATATGAGAAACCAATTACCATTTGTAAAGCTGCTGAAGGAATATCAACGAAAAGTTATAAGAAACTACTGATAGATCTTATTTTCTGATTCAGAAATCTTCTAACAGTTTTGACAGTTCGAGCTAGTCTAACATTTTTTTGAATATTTGCTCTACAGAAAAGTATTTTGTTAGGCTTAAGTGAAATGGATAGATGAAGTAGGCTTCAAGTATTAAGCCTGCAACACATTGCCCCATTGGCTATATAGCCCCACTTACACATGATTTAAATGTTTTTTTTTTGCTAAAATGTGAATGTTGTAACGTAGGGAACGAAATATTTTGATTTTTTTGGCTCAATGTCACCGCCACTTACAGTATCATTAAAATTTACATTTAGTTATTTTCAGAATTCTCCTTCTTCTCTTGGAGTTCTCCTTACAAATCCTTTCGAAAAACGAAAAGTTTAGTAAAAACTCGCTTTGAATTCTATTTGGAATTGCCTTGAAATGCGCCACAGAATTCTCTTGTAAAATTACTTTACTGATAAAACTGTTGACGTTTTTGACTACACTCGCTTCGTTGTCGTGCGCGACAGTCTGTTTGTATGCGTATGCTCTACTGTCGTCTCTCTTACACAACACAAACGGTAGAAAAACATTCGAGCCAAAAGAAAATTATCAAATAACTATCATATGACATGTGTGATTTTGATCTAATTCCTCAATTTGGTGTGAATTCAACCATATCTGATCAGAAATGCTATTACTAGGACATCGTTGCTTGCTAGTTTCAGAATTCACACAAGCACAACATCAGCAGCTCTTATTATGAGAAAAACTAAAATACATACATTCGTGACGGTCTTGGGCAAAAATGTCGAATGACAGAGCCTGTCATATGACATTTTAGTTTGGTATTGTTATGCGATATCTTGTTTTGCAAATTTCGGACGCAAGGCCATTCAATTATCACAGAAAATGTGTCGACTACGGTGACCGCTTACAAGACTGCTCAGGATTCCCTTAGTATTCAACCTTATTGCTTATCGCATATTAGCTTATTACGTGCTCTCAACTTAGTGTTTTAGATGCACTTCCACAGTTATGAATTGAGAACTTGCGATGTCTGTACTATTTTTGCATCAGTATAATTGTGTGGCAAATACAATCATGCTATATGCCCAGGGAAGTCGAGAAATTTTCCAACCCGAAAAATTCCTAGACCGGACCGGGAGTCCAAACCCAGCCACCTCCAGCATGGTCTTGCTTTGTAGTGCATATGATGGCAATAATGCGTCTCCGAATTTCTCTTCTGCAGTTGTTATCCGATATCACTAGGTAAATTTCGAGGAAATTTTCACTCGCTTAGTGCGTAACCGCACTTTCTACGATTTTGAGTAAAAATCTACTAATTTTACAGTTAGTCAGGCCACGTATACATCGCCAAATAACTCGATCTAATGTCACAATTTCCCTTTCTTTTCTCCCCCAACAGGCGGCAATCCTTCAGCAAACGGCAGAATACATCTACGCCCTGGAGCAGGAAAAGACTCGATTGCTATCGCAAAATTGTCAACTAAAGCGATTACTAGACCAGCACGATCACAATGGAGCAGTAGCAGCTGCCGAACTGCAGCAAGCTACCACACAGACCGCTCCGGGAGTCACAGTACTGACTACTACAGCAGCAGCAGCAGCAGCGGCGGCGGCGGCGGCGTCAGCGACGACAGTCGTTGTCAACAATGGTTCCACCGGTGCTCCGGTTCAGACCGTTGCCCAAGTGGCCACCGTAGCCAAGAAGCGCAAGATTGACGCCATCATTCAACCGGTCTCGGATTCGTCCGATGAAGGTCTGGGCTCGATGTCACCGGAACCGGTCAGTCTCATGCAGGTCGTGAGCAACGCCACCGGAACCACTCTTGTCGCCACCGCGGTCAACGGCCGAGCATGCCAGGCATTCAACGTATCGGCGAAAGATTACTTGGATATGAAACACCAGCTGGAGATCGAACGACGGCAGAAAGCGATCTTCGAGGAGAGATTAAAGGCTTTAGAACGACAGATCTACCCCGCTCGGGTCCTCTACCAAGATCATCCGGATATGGTAGAAACCAGCGAACCACTGGAGGAAGTACTCGTACCAACGATAACGAAAACGATCGCAACAAAACTTACCAGGGAACAGGATAATGTTCAACTGATCGCGCTGGACACCGGTGTGATCGGCAAGAAGCAGCTGGTCGTCTGCGGGCCGGAAGTTATAGAAGAGACTGTCCAACAACCTATTGCTAAGCCAGTGGCTGTTCCTGTGAAGGAAGAGAAAGTGTTCATCAAGCGATCCCGGTCGCGATCGCCTCCGAACGTTGAAACGGTCGTTACGTTGCCCCCGAAGAAGAACCGTTATCCAACGATATTGGAAGCGGCCATCAAAGCCGAACCGAAGGTCGAAGTCGAACGCATTGATTCCCCTTCGTCGATCGTCGTTAGCGATGATCGTTTGTCGCACTTGACGAGCAGTAAACTGGCAACACCCCAGCAGCAGCAAGCCGCCTCGCGAATTAACACCTGCCGTCATAATCTGGAGACGATAGTAGAGGCGATCAGGCATCTGGAGGGGGATGCATTCGACAATGTGGCTCCACCTCAACAGCAACAGCATCTACAACCTTCAGCGGCTGCCCGGCCGGTGCAGGAAGTACCCCTCGCACTGACCACCTCCGGCAAACACCAGCAGAAGCAAGAACGCGATCATCGCCAAAGTCAGCTGGAACCGTACCTGAAGTTCCGGACGACACCTGCAGGTACCTGCCCATCAGCCTCCTCCGCTACCTCCTCCTCCTCATCATCCTCGAGCATCCCTTCCAGTAACACCTCCAGCAATCCAAGTGGTAATCCCGCGATTGTGTCAGTGTCCATCACCCCTACCGTAGCGCTGGCCGCCGGCAGTTGCAGTCCCTCTCCTTCGGCCACCTCCTCTGCCCAGCAAACCGCATCGCAGATCCTCCAGCACCACCAGCAAAGTCGACCGGGCGTAATCGTCGTCAAGCAGACGTCATGATCATCTGGCAGCGTTGCTCCTTCCTCATTCCTATCCGGTAATACGTCATCGTCGTCGTCGTCACCGTCTTCAGTGGTAGCAGCTGCAGCATCATCGTCATCCGCCGTATCAGCATCACCTTCATCAGTAGTGGCAACCGCAGCAGCGGGAACAGTCGGAACGATTGTGATCAATAGCAGCAGCAGCAGCAAGCAAATGAAGATCGTTAACTGTAAGAACGTCACCGCCCTTGGTAGCGGTGGTGGTACGCCAAACGTGATCATCAAATACCATCATCCACATCCGTTGGCTGAGGATGCGGCGAAACAGCATGGCGGAAGATAAGATCCGTTCGGCGGCGTCCGTCGGCGGAGGAATCTTTTTTGTTAATTATTTTTATACATATTACTTTTTCGCTTCCACAAACATAGACCTGAACTCGATCGTCCCCCGTTCCTCCATCCCCCCCCCCCACGGTAATCCGCGCATAGTAAGTTGTAATTTTCATAAAAATCTTTATTTTTCATTTTTTTTTTTACTTGTCGGTAGTTTATAGGAAGCATTCTTTAAGTTTACTTCTTTTGATAAAAAGCATATTTTTTTAACAAGCGGAAGTGAGAACGAACAGCAAGAATTGATATAATTTTTAGTATCAAACAAACAAACACATACACACACATACATTAACATTTAGGATAGGACAAAAGAGAGTGACGAATAGAAAAGAAACTAAAAAGCGAGCGCGAGAGAGAGAGATAGAGACGAAGAAAGGAAGTGTGTGTTAGTAGTGGTAGTATAAATTCAAGATTGATTTTTTAGCTGAAATCGCGGCTGGTTGCGCGGAATCGCTTAGCTCTTTTGTTGTAAAAATACTAATTTTGACAATGCCAGTTTGTTCGGAAATAAGGGATCCCGAAGAAAGAAACAATTGCTCTGACTTGAGAGTGTTCCGGTGTTTAGAGGATATGATGTTGGTCGCTTCTTCCTGGATTAGGTTATGTGCGTCGTCCTCTTCTGGTGGAACAGTTTTGTGTTCTTGCATTTTTTTTTTCGTTTTAAGTGTAATGTTCAAATGGAATCTTAACAAAAAAGGCCACCAAAGCGTTACAACGCTTTGGTGGTCATCAAACAAATATGCAACGGAAAATACAATAGAAACATATGAGCATCATATGCCGGGAACTATTAGTTACATAAGTAGTGTAGAGCGGGAGTAATGCGCTTTTCAATGCAATTTACATATAATTTGTTATAGCCATAATCCAGGAAGATAACCACCAGGATCCTCGTGCGGGGGGAGATGGGGTTTAGAAAAACTTACGGAAATGGAAAGATCGCCGTAGGCACCGTGATCGGTGCGGTGTTGAGCTTGCCGGCCCGGGACTTGCATGTTCCGGAGGGCACGCGAAGAGGTGCCAAATCAACCAAACAGGCAAAGCAAGAAGGCTTAATTGAGATTTTTTGAGAATATTCTGTGAAATGAGAGCCGACTCCTTACCCACTTATTGAGATGCTTTCGGGAACTATAGTATGGTTTGTAGCTACCGTGAAGCTCCGTTAATTTGAACGAATCATCATGTAAACTAGCGGAGTTCAGTTTGAATTTGAAGAACTGGTAATGCTACCTGTGTAAGGTTACGAGTTAAACTTTAAGATGAACCCCGCTAATTCACTGAATCAAATTGTTCATATTAACGAGGGTCCACGGTATTGGCACAATCTTGTTGCAATTAAACAATTCTTTTACTCTCGTAAATAGCACGTTAGTCTTATTACCTACGGTCCAGGTCAATTTTAGGTCAGCAGAACTTGGTCCAGTCGTGCAAAGGGAGTATCTCACTATCTACAGAGTACCTCCACAATGACAAAATTTCTGTAAGTTTGTCTCCGTCACAACGGAATTGTAGGGAATTTCCAACGCTGGGAATGAATGCCGAAGTTGTGGTCAATTTTCAACCGCAACGTGCTTGAAAATTTCCTTGAATCTAAAATAAAACATCCAGAACGTTCGAAATTTTAACCCACGATCAGAATTCCCAGCCAGGCGTTGTCATTTTTCTGGAATTGTAGGAATTTGTAGCACATTAAGAAATACAACACCTTTCGAAACTCCAGTAACAGGCTGAACTTCTAGAACAATCAAAACCTCGAAATGGGTGAGTCTAGGGTGGCCACTCAACCAGGAAAACCGGGAATCGAAACTACATGCTCTACCTGTGTATGTAAACCGACTGTACTTTCCAGAGGTGAAACACTTATCGACTTCATATTCTTTAGTCTGAGATAACTCTCGTCTCATAACTCTTTCTGTCCTACACCGAGGCAAAAGAACGTAAGAATTCCATAAGAACCACTTATGAATTTTAGCCACAAGAAATTGATATCTTCTTTCCTTTATTTAACGTCGGTCTCTGTTCCGCAATCTAGTGCCAATCACCTACGGACATCGATTGCCATCCATTGACGGCAATCGAATGTGCAGGAAGGCAGCTTCCACACCTGCGTAGGATATCGCACCCATTCAACACACACATGGGCCGGGACCAACGGCTTTACTTCCCTTCCGAAGGAAGACGTGACTAGAGATTTTTATGCCTCAGAAAAATCCCACCGACCTCGACTGGGATTGAACCCAGACCCATCGGGGTGTTAGAAAGCAGTCACGCTAACCACTACACCACCGGCGCCGGCTACAAGAAATTGATATGAATTTCATAGATTTGCCTTATGAAAAATAATGTCGACAAAAAAATAATTAAACGGAGCAGACTTTGACCGAACAATGTACGTTAAGATTACGGGTCTTGTGTCTAGACCACTCGTCTGTCAACGCTTGAGTAAATGAAAAGGCTAAAAGCGTGTAAGAGCTACCCTATGTTAGACGAAAATCTTTCATAAGTTGCGCTTATGAAATTCATATGTGTCGTTCATAAGTCGAGCCTTAGGAAATTCTTAAGTTTATTTGCCTCAGTGTAAGGTGGTTTACCAATCAGACTTACAACTTACATAATTATAAGGGGGTCCGACTCGTACCGTGTACCAAGTAAATGCTTCGAACGAATTTGATAGCAAAGATTACATCCTCCGAAGAAAGGTTTGTGTATTTGCTCATCTTTCTATACGTTGCTTCCACCTTCCCTCAAGCGCAGCACTATTGTATCTGTCGCTTGGATTCTGGCAAAGTTGCCAGTCTTCTTAATATTATGTTATCACGTGATATACGCTGTCTTGCAATGAGCACTCATACATCTAGTTTTCACTGGAAATCCTATGTATGAGTGCTCATTGCAAGACAGCCTATATTACGTGATATAGACTTTAATGTGAACGGGGTATGTGAATCACCCCAAGATGTCTTCAGAGTTGCTTTCAGGATTCTACAGAATCATTGTATAATTCCTTCTGGCCGTCGCTGCAAAATCTCAACAATACACGCGATATTCAAAATTCTGCTTTGGTCACTCATTTGAACTAACAGTCATTGGCAAGGCAAGCCATGACAATTGTCAGTGGCAATGCTGTCAGTGACGAACTCGAAATTAAACGACTTTAGCAAAACAATTACATGGATCCGTTAAAGTGAACAACCATCTTGGTCCTGAACTGCTTGGATAACAATAATGTGACACAAAATGCACAAACTTACTCTTTTTGTTACCAGGTGAATCTCCAGGTAATTGATTTTTTTTTTTCCTTTGGTTTGTTTTTTCCGTCGCCAGGAAGGCAGCTCCCACACCTGGACCCTACCTATCGACCCATCAACTCATGAACCGGGGACCAACGGCTTTACTTCCCATCCGAAGGAAGGCGTGATCAGAGATGTTATGCCTCAAAACATCCCAGCGGCGCCGACTGGGATTGAACCCAGGCCTGCTGGGGTGAGAGGTAATCACGCTTACCACTACACCACCGGCGCCGTTAGGTAATTGATGAAAAAAATAATGAGATTTTGATGAAGGTTTTTTTGAGGATCAAGTCTACCAGTGACTATGTATGTGTGTATCGCCGGCGCCGGTGATTTAGTGGTAAGCGTGACTGCTTTCTTACCCCCATGGGTCTGGGTTCAATCCCAGCCGAGGTCGGTGGGATTTTTCTGAGGAATAAAAAATCTCTGGTCACGTCTTTCTTCGGAAGAGAAGTAAAGCCGTTGGTCCCGCCCATATGTGTTTGAATGGGTGCGATATCCTAAGCAGGGGTGGAAGCTGCCTTCCTGCACATTCGATGATTGGCACTAGATTGCGGAACAGAGACCGACGTTAAATAAATGAAAAAGAGTGACTATAAGAAAAGCAATTTTGTCAATATCGCGTGAAAGTCTGTCAATGACAATGACAAATCTCAGCGCTGCTTTTGGCATTTCCTTGAAACTTTCGTCCATAACAACCTTAGACATTATCTACATACCGCCTTAGGAATCCCCTTCATAGAATTTACTCTATAATTATCTTAGTACTCCCAATAATTCTCGCGATAATTCCTTCAAAATCCTCCCCATAATTCTCCATAAGTTACCCTTTAGAAATTAATCTTATAATTGTCTTGGAAATCTGAACAGAACTGTTTAGGAATTAGCTGACTTTTTTTCTAGTTGCTGAAATTCCATTGAAAATTTACGTTAGCATTCTCAAAGCATCCTCTCGGTATTCCCTTTTAATGCTCCGTATAATTTATTTGTATTTCTTCTAAAATTCACGCTGTACCGCTCTATGAAATTCTGAAACAATTCGAACTCTTGGAACTCCGAGAGCTTTTCACACTCCAAAAACTTTCAATACTCCAGGATCTGGGGCAACTATCAGAAAATCCTATTGCTTCTAAAGTCGTCAATTCCAGAAGATCCTGGATTTTCCAGAAGTACCTCGTTCTGGGGACGAGTCAGTGATTTGAATAAATGAAATGATTTTCGGGAAATTTTAAGTAGCTTCTTGGAGAGTTCTGTGTGTAGGTGCCCTTTTGTGCAGTTCAAAGTATTCCTCGTACTCTGAAATAATTTCTAACCTCCTAGCACTCCGGAGCGCTGGTCAACTGAGCCCTGATTCGTTATAATTAAAACTTTCAGAAATTTAAGCTACTTCGGAATTCCGAGAAATATCGGAATTGTAATACTATCGAGACCTCCACTTGATAGTTGATTCGTAAACAAACCTTGTAAGGCGATTTTGTCGCGAAGCGAAGTCCGTCAACGCAAACCAACAAAATGAACAGGTAGAGGAATGCCTCCTCTACCCGATTGTGTTTTAGGTTTGCGAATGTAGGTTTCGGTTCGCGAGAAAATGGCCTTTCAAGGTTTGTTTACAAAATTGAGTTGAGGCCTTTTCAATCGTTGGTCTTGATTGGTATGAAAACCCATTTTTTTGCACCAGCTATTTAAATTTAATCCGCGAGTTTGACAAGCTTGTTGGTGTTTGGGAAATTCTCGATGTTGCTGGAATCTGGATTTCTCAAAGTGACACCAGTTTCTGAAGTTCCAGATATTCCGGGACTTTCCGACAAGCTCATTCAATTGTTGGTCTTGCAATGTTGTGTCAAAGGGGACTGTTTTGGAGATTTTCGGCTCTTTCAGTCTTCTAAAGAAGCAAAAACGTTGTATTGCCTCAACTATTTTGCTGCCATCTACATGAAAATTTGGACTACATCGGTTACAAAATCATTCTGTGAAGGTGAATGATAAAAAATATGTTGTATATGAAAAAATGCTATCAACTTCAAAAAGAAAAATCCATCGTTATGACATTTAGACTAAACTGATTTTTCTGAAATTTGGACCAGAATTTTCTCGTGAGTTCTAGTTTCAGCTGGCCAAGTTTGGTTAAAATTGGTGCAATTGTTTGTTGAGAATTTCTGAAAAATTAACAAACACTTCTCTAGACAAGCTTGATAGATCTAGATAAGAAAAAATCATCGATTTTCAACATTCAGGTATAATGAAATCAAAAAAATTGGCAGTAGTCTCAACTCCGGGAACATAAGTTCGAAGTGAAAGAGCTCCTGGCAATTCCAAGATTGGGCCCATCGCTAAAAATCTACTATTTATCAATATTATCTTGATGAACGCGTCATTGGGACGGTAGTATGCAAAATTTTTGATCGCTATTGATAATTTAGTCCATTGCTGAATTTATGTATGGGCCCAAATAAGGGACATTTAGGCCGACATTACAGTCATTTCCCCTAGTAAGCTTCTGAATTTGCGAGAACTCTGAACGTACCTCGAGAGTTGCAGAAATTTCTATGCAGTTTCCAGCAATTGCCGATGGTAAAAATGCTTGACCATTTTCAACAGACCCAGGAGTTTCAAATTTCGCAAGCTCTCAAATTCCAGTTCGTGGAGAGTTCTGTTCTGTGAGTTACTGCAGTTTGAGGAATGCTGGAAGTTTCCAGAATCCCTGCAGTTCCTTAAGCGTCCGTATTTTTTGGAGAGTTTCTTGGCTTCCGGATGCTCATAGAGCTCTCCAACAGTTCAGGAAGAGTTTCGTGAGTATTGGAATTTCAAAATAATTACTAAGAGTTGCAGAAATTCCTAAAGAGTTTCCAGCAATTGTCGAAGGTAAAAATTCTTGGCCAGTTTTTACTGATCCAGGAGTTTCAAATTTCACAAGCTCTCGAATTCCAGTTCTTGTAGAGTTCTGTTCTAAGAATTGCTGCATTTTTGAGAGTGCTGAATGATTCCGGAATTCCTGCAGTTCCAAAAGCAACGGTAGTTTTGGAGAGTTTTTGGGCTTCCTGAATTTCGCAGAAATCCGCCTATTCTGGATGAGCTTCGTGAGTTTCGGAATTTCGAAATAATTAATTAAGAGTCGCTAAAGAAATTCCTAAAGTGTTTCCAGCAATTACCGAAGGTAAAAATTCTTCACCAGTTTCTACAGACCCAGGAGTTTCAAGTTTCGCAAGCTCTCAAATTCCAGTTTTCTGGAGAGTTTTGTTCTGTGAGTTGCTGCAGTTCTCAGAGTGCTGGAAGATTCTAAAATTCCTGCAGTTAAAAAAGGTATCGGTAGTTTTTGGTGAGTTTCTTGGCTTCCGGATGCTCATAGAGCTCCAACAGTCCAGGAAGAGCTTCGTGAGTTTTGGAATTTCGAAATAAATTATTAAGAGTCGCTAAAGAAATTCCTAAAGAGTTTCCAGCAACTGCCGATGGTAAAAATGCTTGACCAGTTTCTACAGATCCAGGAGTTTCAAGTCTCGCCAGATCTCAAATTTTAGTTCGTGGAGACTTATGTTCTGTTGGTTGCTGCAGTTCTGAGAGTGCTGGAAGATTCCGGAATTCCTGCAGTTCCAATACTATGTTCTGTTCTGTGAGTCGCTGCAGTTCTGAGACTGCTGTAAGGTTCTGGTATTCAATAAGTTCTATTATTTTAGGAATTTCGTAGAG